ATTAAAATATTTAATTATTTACCGTCTACATAAAAATAAAAACATGTATCAATTCGGAATCAACGGAATCAATTGGAACAATGATCGATATACGTCTAGCTCATGAATTAAAATTATGGGAAATTGGTATGTAGAGGTGTAATGAATCAGGAATTTAGCATAATATGCAATTAGTGGCAATGGATTTAATAGACGATTACTTAATTGCTATATTACAACATACCGATATGAATTCATGAGAGCAGGATTAACGCCAGCTGCAATTAGTTGTTGTTGCTGCAACAACTGCATCTGATGAAGCTGGTAAAGAGCAGCCGTTTGGTATGACTGACTCAGTGCTTTTTCGCGCTCATAGCGCTGTTTGGCTTGGCGCTTTTCGACGCGTGTAAGACGATAATCTTTTTGATCGATTAGGAGAGATTCGTGCGTGAAAGGTTTCTGAAACGGTTGACGAACGAAAAGAAATTATTTCACAAGCAAGCGACTATGGACTTAGCCAAGCCCCAAGTAAATAATTCTTGTCAGTTCACCTGATTAATGATCCAACGGAATGACTGGCGACTTTTAAAATATATATGCAACATTATACGAGCACTTAATACATTTCTAGTAAACGCTTTTGCAGAATGATGCATAAAACCTTAAAATTATATCGATAATAGTGTTAATTAGCTGAATTATGTTTAAATACTTATAAAATTAGGTTGCAAGTTGCTGTGTTTTCAGCATAGATATCTGAAGAGGTCATTCTAGTAGGACAATGGGAAAAGGTTTCAAAAATAAATTTAAATAGAGAAAATTTCATTGATTATTGAGAAATGATGTGAAAAGATAGAATTAGAAAAGTAAGCAATTTAGTCAGGAAAGATTACTTAAGGCTGATAAAAAAATTAGGATTATAATATAAGTATATAGAAAAATTAGTTAAAGCGGAAGAGATAAATAAAAATGTAGTCAGCAGGGCCGGTATGAAAGTTGTAAAAACAAACAATCGATGAGATACAGTTTGTTTGCGATGAACGAATGATGAAAGGTTCAATA